GATCACCACAGCATTTTCAGAGAAAAAATACATTGTTTTCAAGTCTCAAACAGAAACAAAATTAGACTCAATCACGAATCTTTCTATCAAAGCAATTTAGAAAGATTTTTACAACTTAATCCTGACAATTGTAAAAACGAGCTCCAACAATTAAAGTTAACTACAAAATAAAATACAAATCAAAAACTGGTAATTTTTCAAGTTTTTCCAGACTCTGCACATCAAGCAGAACGTGAAAGATACCAAGGTCATATAAGATTAGACGATAAATACCCGTTCCACGGCGCACACGGACGATTAACTTGACAAAAATTGTTTACCACACATTGGATTAAACAAATCTTCTAATTGTAAAGCAGATACAAAAGAAAGGATATCAAGAAATAATTTTTTTTTATTGGAAAATCCAATCAGAAAAACTACAAATTACACCAGATTTAAAAGACGACACCATTATTTATCAAGAGTTTCGCTTTTCTTGCAAAATTGACCAAAGTTTTTCATCCAACAACAAGAATACAAGGAACTATTGTTTTGTTCCCTAAAGACACATGTACCACATTTCAAAATGTAAGAATTCACTGAAGAATGATACAATTTAATCAAAAATACTTTTTTGAATCAATCCCTTATGATAAAGTAAACCCTGATATAATCAAACAAAACAGAAATCGTTATAGTAATATCGATGGAATAGAAAATACGTTAACACGCTTTCGAATATATCCCGAAGCAGAACTCGCCTGCATATATACAACTCCACTTTAAAAAACACAATATTCAGAAATTGTTGTCGAATACGAAAACGATTTAGACGTGAAAACAGAAAAAATGATAATTAACCCAAATCCAACTCACCATATTTCTAATAATGACGAAAACTCATACATCCCAGTTTTTTTTTGAAAAAAATAGTAAAAACTGGTTGAAAATTTCGCCCATAAGACAAAGGCAGCACACGTTTACAAGAACTATCACTCATGAACAATACTTATTTTGGCGCAATTCACTATGACATCCAATTAGTCATGAAATTGAATTACACAATAAGCAGAATCTTTAAAGAAATGTCACTATCAGAATTAGAAACAGTTCATCACTTATGTGAACTCGAACGAACACACGTTTAACAATCTCTTGCACTCGCAGTACTAAAAATACCTTATGCAGGATATTTAATATCAGGCAATAGATCAAATTTCAGTGATTATAAAGGAATCATACTATGATTCTACACATGTACAAAAAAGTATCATCATTAATTGTTTTTGGAGATAAAAGATGTTACAAAAATTTCGGTTATTATAAGGGAATCATACTATGATTTTACACATGTACAAAAAAAGTATTACCATTAAATGTTTTTGAAGATGAAAGATGTTACAAAAGAATCCCTATAATCTACAAAAATAAAGAACATTTTATCGGCACACTTTCTAGACAAACATATTTTTGGGATACAGCCGTCCCTTGTGGATCTGAAAATAGCCACAAGGTTGTACATCTAAATCCGGATGAAGATAAACACTATTTTCTCACCCCATACACTACATTTATGCCACCATTAAAGAAGTTTTCACCAGAAAGTATCAGAGCTATTGCTCATAACCCCAATATAGATTTACAATCAATAGGTATTTACTCCAAAATGTGCTTCATCTTTATGCTTCCCGTATATGCTTCATCTTAAGAAAATAGACCCAAAGTTTTTTGTCTAACAAAATCAAAAAACAAAAATGAATTGCATATAATTAGATTGAACCTTTTTCTAATGAAACCCTGGTGACTGATGCAAACCAATCTGAATCAGTTTTGTTCAATGCAAGATAAAGCAAGATACTTTGGTTGAGAAATACATCAATGAAATTGTTCCGCCATATGATTGAGAAGGAAGTAATAGCATTAAGAGTGCCTTGGGCGAAGTTTTTCATGTATCATAAAGTCTTTTTTCTCAGGTGTTGGTATTAAATTTTTGCGTCTAGTCAAATCTATATCAAACAAAATTATTGAAGAGGATGAAAAGTTTTCCATCTGAAGTTCCAGTCGTAATAATCGCAAAATAGGGCAACAAAATTCGAGGCAGGTAGCCTCCTAATTGATTTGGCCCAAAAACATGCCAATAGCTTGGTTTGCAAGTATCACGGTGATTGTTTCCTCCCATGTAAAAAAATAAAACACATGAAATAAACCAAATTGAACCAACTAAACAGAAACGGTCAACTTAGATTAATCCCCCGCATCAGTCTGTCAGTTAAAACCAGTACTATTTCAGTAGTGCAACAGTACAAAAACAGTTTTGTAACAATACTGGGTAATTGCTACGATAGCACTGAGCAGGGGTAAAATTAGGACAAAAAGTTGCAGTACCGTTCCAGTCAGTACTGTTTCGGTACTGATTCGGTATTGCATCAGTACTTTTTTCTGAAACTAACAAAACTGATCATTACCACATCAGTGAAGAATACAGGAGTTTAGCTGTTGCATAACCGGAACTTTACTGATTTTTACTAAGGGTTCTCGGGTTTAATTAGCATCACTACGGTCCCGAAAAAATTTTTAATTCAGAAACAAGATCAGAACATCAGGTAAATCCGTACTTTATTCACAACAGAAATTAAATTGTCTTCTTAAGTTTTTAAACCTTCTAGTTTGTGGACCGGTTTTTATGGGCACAGCTTTCCAATAACTCTTCGCTATTGGGTAACGATACTTTCCTGTTACTACGAACAATATTTACCAAGAACGATCCTTTTTCGAAGCTATTCTTTTTTCTTTCACGAAAATTATGACAATTTTTTGCGTCATAATTGCACTCAACCCTACAAATGACCCTGGTGCCGGCAGTTTTTTTGAAAGTTGTTCGATGCGACACATCATTTTTGGCGCTCAGCAGCTGAGTTTTAGCTGTGAGGGCTTGGGGTCCATCAACGTTTTCAAAAATATACTTTCTTATTCACATGCTTACCCAAAATTGTCGTACTTCAGGCAATTTTTGTTGCTCAAGCCTTCTAAGTCCCAAGCCCTTTATAAATTTCATCCTGAATTGCAATTTACGTGGTTTCTATACCTTAAGGTTATTGTATTGGCTTTTTTGACTGTAACGACTTGAATCAATTCATAATTTAGAAAAAAATTCCCTTGCTGTTCGAGGAGAAAAACAGTGAAACAAAAACAAGAGCACTGTAACAGTAGTGTTCCAGTACTATGATAGTACTGTTTTTCAGGAACAGTACTGCAAAAATAACTTACTTAATTCTACCTCAATTCGGTTTAATCGGTTGCTCGGGTTTGAAGGGTAGTTAGGATTTAAAAAAATCAGATTCAGCCGTAAATTCAATGAAACTTATCGGTAAATAATAGTCACAAAACGACCATAACTCTTTTCTGAAATATCGAAAATTTCAGAAACAAACATCGATTCGTTGTTTTTGCAGCAGAAGTTGACAGCAGACATGAAGTTTTATGTTTTATAAACTTATTCTTACGTAATTACGCTTTCAGAAATAATAAAATAATTTGGGTCCAGGGCGGAACCCGCGCCGAAGCTTATTTTAAATAGCTGAATCGAATCTATGCGCAGTTGCATTAGCCTCTCGGCCATCGCAGCTTGTCTGTCTTTAATTTATTGCCTTTATAATTCACACTATAGTTTGACAAACTGCTTTCTCACTTTCATTTCAAATGAAAACATCCTAGGGCCCCAAAAGAAACAATTTTTACCAGAGGACGACTTCATTTTCGTGTACTGGTTTTCAGGAGAGCGGAGCGGGCGATCTCATCTCAGCCAAAAATCAGAGTTAAGATACGTGCTAAGGGGTAGTTCTCGCGGGATCTACAATCTTCTACAACCCAAACAAGATCTCCGGACTTGAGGACATGTTAGGCGGGTGTGTGCCACTTATAGCAGTTGTTGATAGAGGGTACTTCTCTCCCAACCCACGCAACCAGATTGAATGTGCGCCGAAGGTTTCGTTTCAATTCTATACCGTTATGTACAAGATGGGCGGGTGCAAGGTCTTTCTATAATCGAGTGCACAGATGAACCTCTTTTCTCTGCGCCGACAAAGTTCGTTCCATTGTCAGGCCAATTGTTTGAGGGGGTTCCACGCCTAGCGATGAATATTTTTACTCCAATTATGCAAGAGCTAGCCTCCTAAAACGAATTCTATGTGGTTGGCTCTTGCGGTCAAACAAGTACAGAAAAACGCCCAATGTTTCTCAGATCTCCGGCGAATTGTTAAATTAAAGGGTCCGAATTAGTCTACGCCGTAACTAATGCATTGAGCCTGGCGCTAACCTAAGTGCTCGACTGGCAGATTATACATTAACTACTGGCACTTCAAACAATGTTGCGTAGTGAGGAGCCTAAATGCAAGATGACTCGATACAACAAAACGTAGATTGGTGCGTATGCGTATGTTTGCTAGGCATTAAATTACGAAGGAATTCACTGAGGGGTGATGATCATCGAGTATGATGGGATGTTCTGTTTTGCATTCAATTTCAGAAAGACGGCTCATGCGGCCTGTGGACCGCCAAACACCGCCAGAGCCGACGAAGAGGAAGAGTTTTGCAGTAAAAGTTAGATTCTTTACAGGTTTTTCAGAACTTAGCAATTTGAGTTCTGGCGCCAATGCCGCTCTTTTTGAGAGAAACAATAGTTTTAATTTCGACTTTTTTTGAGCTCAAAGGGTGCCACGATTCTAAGTGTTGCTTCAAAGTAACTATGGTACCTAAGATTTATACTGACGACGAAGGCTACAATGGGTAACAACTTAACAAAAAAATGTTTTGAGGACAAGGGATTATGGGATTGATTAGTGCCGGTTTTGCGACGAAATTAGATGCGGTAACAATAACATCCTCAACAGGACCATTGAGTCTCGTTTTGATGATTATTTCTATGTTTGGACGACAGGGTCAGTCAGAAGTTCTTAGGAAGCTGGGATCTAGGTTCTAGCTGCTATTTTTTGAAGCACCGGCAGCATTATCTCGAGTACCTGTATCCGCGGGAATATTTCCGGTGTTGACATAGCGCCATTTGTTCACGATTGTTACTAGTTGTTTTGATAATAAGTAGAGCCACTGGAGGTGCTGTCTGAACAATGTGGTGCTGTGTGTCCACATGAGGACCTTGCTAATCGGAATGGTAATAATGTTCTCCTGGCGGCGTGTGGCCAATAACGCAGCTTGCAATTCTAATAAAGGGATAGACACAGCATTCGTTGGCGCTACTCGCGCTTTATCCAGATAGAAGGAGAATTTGGTCTCTTGATTATCCAAAGAGCGCGCATGAATAAGTCCAACTGTACAGAAGACCTCGTACGAACTATCTGCAAAAAAAATGTTTTTTAAATTTTGTCAACTGCAAACGGAAAAAAATCAGCGGGGAATTGTTAGTTGATCTAAGATGGGTAAGTCGAAATGCCATGAGAGGAGTTTTTCAGCAAGTTGTTTTGGATGAGGGACATCCTACTGTTGACCACTGATTCACCAAAATTCTTTCAGAATGAGACAAACCCACACAGTGTATGGAGCAACCAGCCTGATGGCTTCAAAGACTGAAGAGATAAAGCTTAAAACCATGCGCTCCGTAACATTGTTTTTCAATTCTCTATTCTACCCAGGCTTAACACTAATGTGTCATGTATCTGGTATTTTTTTGAACCTAGTACATGTGACGCTTTATCTTTGCCATCTAAGATTTTTTTTTGACCTGACCTGCTTCGTCACTTGACTTTCTCAACTCGTTTTGTATTATTCTTACATTGCTTAAAAATTTCGTCAATTAAAAACTTCCCAACTTAGGAAGCTCTACAAGATTTTTATCTAGCTTCAAAGCTTCTTCAGGGTGTTGTACAAAGTAATTGTCGTTTTAGATTTTTGCATCACTGCAAAAGCTGCATCTGGAAAAAAGCTTGATTGTCAGAATTTTTTGAAGTACGAATGTAGTGCATGTGGGGATTCCCAAGCCCCCCAAAGAAAAATTTCGGGTGTTTTGGTACTTTACTACATAGGTTGTAGTTTCTTCTCGCCACAGGAATCGCAGTGATGGTTGATCATCTGCAAGCACACCAACCTGGAAAAACATTCTTTTATTATCAGCAGAAACACAATACCAGTGCCGACGGAACCTCATTATTACGGCTAGAAGGTTTTGAATCAAGTCTCTATCAACCAGTAGAGCTGTTTTTGAGGAAGGTCCATGACTTTTGGATGCTCCATTGAGGACACGCCGAAATTTTCCCGGCTTGTTGGGGTTAATCATCGGGTTGTAAGAAAGATGCTATTTACTCGCGGAACGGTGTCTGGGGTCTTGGGCTTTAACTCTGACCTCATACCCTTTGTCATAGTCATCACGAATGGTTTTTGCATTTTGCATACGACTCTTTAAATGTTTCGTTTTTTTTCTGAAAGTTTCTCAAACACTTCATTTGAACCAACGGGGGAAAATAATTCGCTAATTCTAAGTTGTTTTCAGCCTACGGAGTAGCTATGACTATCGTGTATGGTAGTTGACTCAAGGATTTTATTGACCCTTTTATTGGCCGAGTAGGATTAAAGTTCATACCAGGATTTGACCTGCTCTATTGAATTTACATCCTCGAGGGTGTATTTCAAGCACGTGGCGATTAGACCACTAGAGGAAAGAAGAGGACCAATTAACAACCATACAATGGGGAGACGATCAACAAAAGGAGCTGTTTGATTTCTTAGCTCGACAGTACTTTATAGGACGGACATATTCATAGAAATCTTGACCTAAAGTCGTTTCTAGATCCGCATATCGGTATTCGGCTAGGAAAACAGGTTCCAAGTGGGGATAATTCTCCTGCAAGTTGGAAAAATTGATTATATCTTAACCTTATTTAATGTCATAGGTGCACACAAAAAAGTATATTTCGGGATTAGTTTCAGCTGTGACCATTAAGTCAACTTGCTCTGAGACGATAACCTCAGTTGAATTGAAACCGTTAACAGTCAACTCGATTTTATTACCAGTCAGGTTCATTCTAGGTGCGAGATCAAATGACAAACAATAATGACTGCAGGTTGAGTCACACAACACAAATGCATTAGTTTCAAAAGTAATGAATGAAACTGATAGACATTTGATTGGCATTAGACCTATGACAATCGATAATTTCATCGGTCTAATGTGCACAATGATGTTGCACAAGTGGAGTTTTGTGCGTTCACTTTTGATCTAACTGCAGAAGTGTTCACAAGTATGCAAAGTGAACTCCCAGATACGGTCTAAAATATTTTCCGGAGTACGGGCTAAAAGATGCTCTCAGCTCCATGTAAGAAGACATTTTATGTTCTCTTCCATTCGGGTTTGTGACATGTTTTGGGCTTAGGTTTTTTCCTAAACATGTGATTGCCCTGAAGGCGAGAAAAAGCTCACTTTCGGCACAGGATTCTGCGCGTTGGGTTGGGTTTCTTTTCTTTGAAGAAGCAAAATTTCCAAAGTGGATGATTGCTTTTACCTTGCAACCAAGGACTATACAGAGGATATGCACCGATGACTAGGTTGTGGTTGACCAAACTTTCGCTCAATTTTCATGAGAACATCTTTGTACTTTGCACCACTATCTGAAATTTGCGCTATAGAGACCAACGTTTTGAGGTAAAGTAATTTAACATCATCGGACAAGTTTTGCGAGTCCACAGCACTTCTAAACTGCCCAATCTGTCCTCACCACTGGAGTGGATCACCGTTGTATTGGGAAAATTTCCATTGCGGCAAGGGATCTTGTCGAGTAACTGTGTTGACGTCTTCTAAACCCCGAAGGTTATGGGAAAAGAAATAGATGGATACGAGGAAGAAGCAAAGTGATGCTGCTGCGGTACTATTGTTGGTGAAAATTTTTTTGAGCTGTACGCAAAAGGAAATGCTTTTGGAAAACGTTGTGCTAGTTGAGCTTGCAATGTTGGGTTGCTGTAAACGTTTCCACCAGCGTTGTATGAACTATTTTAAGCGAATGGCTGCATTATGGGTGTGAAGGATGCAATAGGTCCAAACTGCGTGGCTTAGTTCAGTTGTTGAGGGAAAAAGTCTCAAGAAAGCTTTATTCGGTATGTAGTGGCCAAGATGCGGATGAGTAAAAGTCATTTGTACCGATGCGAAGCATATGAGTTGAGCGAGATTTGAACGCTGAGGGATATTTGAAGTTACGGTCAATGGCAGAGATGACAAGTATACAGGTGAGTTGGCTGGAGCAGTCTTAGGCGAAGAGTTCAATGATAATCCTGCTTTTGAGGAAATAAATAATTTCATAGCGGGAGGGGGCGGTATTGGTAATGGTGAGAACGGATATCCGGAATAGTGGGAGGTGATGGGTTCAACTGATGCTGACGAGAGAGCAACTATCCTTGTTGATGCGGTGTTATCACAAGACCGTATTGGGAGTCTTGGACGAGGCAATTGTATACCTTTTTGGTTTGCTAAATTGGTAAAGTGGTTGTTGACATAAGGATGATTGATTGATTAAAGCGCAATCGAGGTGTTAATTGTTCTTGTTCCTAAATTGTTAGCTCTTAGTTTTTTGAAAGAATGAAAGAATAGCTTCAAACAATTTATCGTAAGTTTAGTCATGGATCATGATTGGTTGCTTATCAATGTTTTACTGTGAGATATCTCGAAGCATAAAATAAAACTTGTTTTTAATTGTTCCAGTATTTTGTCTAATTTGATTTTGAATTACACTAAGTTTTTAACACTTTTGTTCATAAAATTTTATGAAAAACTAAGAAATTTCAAAATTAGTTAGAAAAAACAGTTTTAGGAGATAATTCCGATCAAAAAATTTCTTGTTATATGCATCTGTTGATCAATTCGAAAATATGTAAGCTAAGTTGTCCACAACTATTATAATTTCTGCTTTTTAAAGTGCTAACTGTTTTGACAGTGTTTCCGCTACCATTTGTTTTTTGTTATGCATCGAAAAGTCTTACAATCAGTTTTGAAAACTTCTCGGTTATCATTTTATGACCATAAACTTCAAACGTGGATTTTTTGCCGCACGCAGTAAAAAAACAGAGAAAGTATTTTTTTTATCCTGATAGTTTAACCCAAATTGGAAACTATATTGGTTTGGAGAGTTTGCTAAAACATACCCAGCAAAAACTTAATTTGCTCTTTTTCAAAACCATATGAAATTATTTTGGCAAAAAATAGCATGCTGGCTGCATAACTGCGTCAGTCACGGTGGGTGTTTCTTCTTTGCTTCAAAACCTCACCGGTGTTACGTTTTCCCAGAAACTCTCGAAACCAATTTTTGGCCGCCAAATTGTGCACAAAAATTCGGTTAAAATATTTGACAAGTTTTTCCAAGTAAAATTTAAACACGGGTAAACTTCAAACCATTCGCACACATACTCATAGCGCTAACAATACCGTTTAATTAGTTATTAAGCGGTATTGTTAGCGGTATAATTAGTTATTAAACAGTATAAATTAATTAGCCACACCAGATAGTTTGATATAGATGCATCTTGTCTGAACAAATCTGATTAGTTTCTTAAATTTAATATGAACGTTTTCAGCTTAAAATTTCAGACAGTGTTTTTTTTTCATTTTTCCGACCAGATAGTTTTTTTTCCGTTTTTTGTTGCTTATTTTCATTTTTTATGTTGGAGTAGTTTGTTTTTATGATGGTGTTGTGAGTAAGTCAAAATATCTGGGAGGTTTATATCCATCCTTTATTCTGATGAAAATTTTAAATGGAAGAAAGGAAACTTAACAGAGCTTTTCTTTTTTTTCAGGTTTTTTAATTTGACAACAAAATAGTTTCCATTAATATTCTTATAGTTCATGTCGAATGCAGTTTTCCAGATGATTTTTTGCATTTGGAAAATTCAGACAAGGATGAATAAATTCTAGCTAGATAAAAAGTAATGGACGATGCGAGATTTCTGGGTTGCTAAAATTTAGATAAACACGTTTAGATTTTATGTGCATGCCGATTGCAGCTACTTTCTAAACATATAAAGACCACAACAAAATGGTTAGATTTTCAATATCTAGAGAAAAGAATTGGAAAGTTCTATTTGAAAAACGTCGAAGTCTTGGGTCATTGAGTTATAACCGAAGTTGTTAACTCATAGAGTAATTTCGGATAGGGTACACCAATCTTATTTTCGGCCGGATAGATTCGTGCAACTTCTTAGTCTAATACCGATCCTAATCTTACTCTTATATCTACTAGTCTCAGGGTGTCTAACTAGTCTCTGCTAGGCTCAATAGATCTAGAGTATACTGGCTTATTGCAACTGCTGAAGTTCTCTTGGAGAGACAACTAATTTCTAAGTTAAATTCAAATCTCTCTGGTGCTGAAATTACAAGTAATTTCAGCACTTACAAATAAGTGGGTTGTTAGTTAGAAGGATTATGATTGGTTAATATTAAATATTTTACAGTTGTAAAATATCCAATTTATCCAATAAAAAAATGTAGTTTAGATCAGGTTCCACCCATCCGGGGTTTACAGAGTTTTTTAGAACTATGTTTCTGCAATTTGAAGGATGGATGATGAACGTTGGTATTTGGCGAACATCATTTTCTTGTCCGGTTCCTCTTGGAGAAGAACGTTCCAGGACGCTGGAATTATGGATAGGAAATTGTTACGTCGTCATTCGACAACGACCGTGATCCCCAATGAAATCAATCCGTTTTCAAAATGGTTCGCTATGACAGGTTTTTCTGAATTATGTAGAGAACTTGTTTTGTGTGCAACCTCGTCTGGGAATGGCGTGAAGATCGTGTGTCGAAGGGATGCCTTGTAAATCGGATCTGTACGTATACTTGAACATCGAGGTGGTCATTGGTCTAGTTCAAAGAAGTCATTTTCTGCGAAGTCAAGTCGTACTCTAAATCCTTTGAGTTGTGATTGTGGATGGCATGTCGGTTTGTGCTTAGCCATTCTTTTGTTCGAGTGTGATGGGATCATCTAGTCTTTGGATGTTCGTCTTTGTTGTTGTGTATTGATCTATATACTGCAAAGTATGATTTACATTTTATAAAATTATGTTAATTCAATTTTTTAATCATGATTTTAGTTAGCCGTTTTCACAAAAGCGTTTTGCTATAGTTTGGTTATTTTGAAGAGTTACTCACCCTTGAGTACCTCTTATTAAAAATAGGAGTGTGGTCACAAAGCGTGGATGTAGCGCGGTAGAATAGGCCGGCTATAGAGCATGCTCAGGACGTCCTCTCTGGTGGGTTAGGCCAGGAGTGGGAGTATGATTTCATGCTGTTTCTTTGAGAGGTCCTGTTATGTGATAACGTTTTATGTTGGGTTTATGTTGGTTTTTCTTATGTTATTTTGGATGTGTCCTTTTTTCAAAAATCAAAT